AATGGTAATCGAGCAAATCTGGCAATAAAGATTCCATCAGGATTAGGCTGGTTTAGATTTTTTAATATATGCATTATTAAATAATTTTTAAAGTGTTCTACAGATGAACAAAATTAAAAACTTTGTGATTCCATTAACAAACAATTTCATAAGATGATAAAAATAAATAATATTAAGTACAAAAAAATATTGGAATGAATTAATATTTTTCATTAGGGGGCGTCCATTAATTACGTGAGGTATTTTTGAGGATTTTTTGACTCCCCCTCCCCCCTTGGCGAGATTTGGTAAGATTTTCCTTAACTCCCTCCCCCCCTTCCCTAATCTCACGTGAGATTTTTCAAAATTCGTGTTTTGGGTGTAAATGTGTTATTAAAAAAAAAAAAAAAAAAAAAACACAATATGTTCCATTACTTTTATTTAAGACTAGCAAAGACTAGTGTTTAAGAGTGTTGCAATTATTTAAAATCACATTAATAAAATTAAATGATAAATACTTAAATGGAAATGTCGTGAGATTAGTTAGACCACCGAGACGCGAAGCGTCGAGGTTAGCTATGATCTCGAGACAGGAATAAACAAATGTCAGATAAAGCCGGATATTAAATTCGCGAATAATAAACATTAATAAGTAGTTTGTTGTATTTTTAGTTCATTGTTGTTTTTTATTGTTTGCCATTAAATAGGTATTATAAAATTTGTCAAAAAATGTGTTATTTTTTTTAAATATAAAAAATATTCATCTGGAATAGATGAAATGAGGGCGGGAAGAGAGGGCGGGAAGTAGAGGTGTGTAATGTGACACTTCCCAACCTTCAATGACGTTAGTAATGACAACATTACATATATGGTTGTAAATAAACATAATTATAAGATTTTTCCATATTTTATTCTAGAAATACTTTTACTATAATTTAACTTTACTTTCACGCAATTTTACACCGTTTTCTACTAGAAAAAAAATTACGTGAGATTTACGAAAACCCCCCCCTCCCCCCCAAGTGAGATTTAGATTTAGTTTTATCCCCCCCCCCCTTGAACACCTCACGTAATTAATGGACGCCCCCTTAGTTTGTTTTTTATACAAACCACCGTGAGCAAAATCTTTTTTTTATTATTTATGATTACCTACCCACTTAGCTTTTTATATTTTTTTCTGAACAGTATTTAAGATACTACAAAATAAATAGCAAAAAGATTTAACTATAGGGGTTATATTATATTAAGTAACATATATCTAAAATAAATAAAGAACAACAGTCCTATTGCACCAATTTTCATAATTTTAAAAAATAAAAAAAGATACTTCAGCGGGGATTGAACCAGCCTCACGAGATGATCGTAAAAAGCAAAGTAAAAAAAGTAAAAAAAGTTAAATACCCTACGACCTGCGCTATCACAGTTGTCAAAAACAATTATTATCTAATCAAATATGTATATGAAAAAGGAAAAACAAAAATAATATAGGTAATTACTTTAAAATTCTTTTAATAATTTGTTAAAAAGAAATATCTAAGATCTATCTAAGATTCATTATGCCCGCCCAAACATTCAGTGACCACCAGAATTGAGACGATGCGATGTTCTAAAAAGTTGATTGTTGGTGTCTGAGTAGTAATGAAAATTGTGCCTATTTACAGAACCATTTTTGTGAAACGTAGCTTCATTAGAGCACAAAATTTTGAAGAGAAGATTACGTACTGTATTTATTTTATTATTACTTAATTCCCTCGTACTTATATTATGATTTTCGGTCCGTTTAACATTAACGATGTCGGAATTTTTAAAAATTTAAAAATAAAAAGTAATTGACCGAAAACTAACAATTCCCAAAAAAAAAATTGAATCAAATCTTGCAATATTTTTATGTTTCTAATCTAACTTAACTAATTTACCTAACCTATGCGGCAGAAAAATTTACATAAAATGACCTAAATTAAAAAAAAAAACTTAACCAATTAACCTAACCTATGCAGCTTGAAGCCATTGCGAAATCCTTTAAAAAAGAATTATACATTAAATAAGAAAAATAAAAAAGAAACAACTAACTTAAAAAAACAATTTTTATATTTAAATTTCCGAAAATATAATATTAAGCTATAAATGCCCCCTAAAAATTGAAATACTTATACCTACATTTCTTTTTCAAATTCGTAGAATAAATATGTTTCTGTATTTTTTTCCCTACCGAAATTTCAAAAAATGTATTTAAAAAAAATAAATATCTTGGCAATATAGCTTCAATTTGCAAAATCGAAGCATGGGCGTAAAGTCCACTAAAATAACAATGTAAAACCGTAAAAATATACAGGGTGTTTCAAATAAAAATGTCACCAAGATTTTGGCTACTTGAACGTCTAGCACTCTGTATAAATGAAACTATTTTCTATGGGGATTAACAAACAAAATAAAAAGGTTTTGGTTCAATTAGTTTAGGCGCTACACTCCGCGGGGAGAAAATTGGTCCACCCTGTATATAAGCTTTGTGATGTAGACGTTTTAATCAATGGCTCATTCGTGCAAATATATAATGAATGAAATGATAGTAATTACAAATGTTCTTTCGCGCGAATGTGATTTTACATTTTGTTGCACAAAATTATGTTAAACAGTGAAAATGGTGATATTTTAATAATATAAATTAAAATTACAAATTGAACATATTTGTCGCATCTAATTTTAACTAAAAACAAAGTTATTTTAATAATGTAAATTATAAGTGGTAAGAGGGGTGTGTGGCTCAGTGGTAGAGTCTCTGCCTGCAGATCCAACAGTCCCAGGTTCAAATCCCACCGTTGGCCAGGATTTTTTTAATTTAATTATTTAAAATTAATTCTGATGCCTTGGTAGGATTCCCCACTCGACTATTCACTGTTGGGTTCTAATTAACAGTGCTGTTCCCAAAGTGGCTCAAGAAAACAGTAACAAAGACTATCTGTAGGGTGTCGTACACCGGACTACAAATATTTTAATTTAAGAAAATTTAAAGCATTTGAAACACAAGTATTAGAAATTAAAAATTTAAAAAAACCGACTTCAAAAACGTGCAGATGCCATCACCACATCTTAACTAAATTTGTATGGGACCACCCCTGAGGTACCCCCTTACTAACAAAAAAAGAATCATATAAATCGGTCAAGGTGGTAAAGCATTATCGCTAAATATACATAAAAAATGAAGAATTTGAGGATTTTCTTATGAACCCAATTATTAGATTTTGACCAAATTTTTATGGGACCACCCCTGAAGTAGTCCCTTTCTAAAAAAAAAAAGAATCATTAAAATTGGACATCGTGTTTAAGAATTATCGCTGAATATATATAAAAAAAATATTGCGACGAATTGAGAACCTCCTCATTTTTTGAAGTCTGTTACAAGATTAGAAATTAAAAATTAAAAAAAACCGACTTCAAAAACGTGCAGACGCCATCACCACATCTTAACCAAATTTATATGGGACCAGCCCTGAGGTATCCCCTTACTAACGAAAAAAGAATCATATAAATCGGACAAAGTGGTAAAGCATTATCGCTAAACATACATAAAAAATGAAGAATTTGAGGATTTTCTCATGGACCCAATTATTAGATTTTGACCAAATTTATATGAAAACACCCCTGAAGTACCCCCTTTTTAACAAAAAAAGAATCATTGAAATTGGACATCGTGTTAAAGAATTATTGCTGAACATACATAAAAAAAATATTGCGACGAATTGAGAACCTCCTCCTTTATTGAAATCTGTTAAAAATAAAATATTACACAGCCTATGGGTTCTAGCTAAACACTTTTAGAGATAATGCATTTTGTAATACCAGGAATTTGTATGATACGTGGCAACATGGCAACATTCCTTTTTACACAGCCAAATATTTTAAAATACAAGTAAACAGTTTTTCATCGCATTTTTTGTAAAGGTAAAAAAGCTCGACTTACCATAAAATAAATCTTCCGAGAAATAATAACATTAAATTTAAAGCATACAGACACAGAAGAATGTTTTTTAATGTTTATTTTGTTTTAATTAAAAAAATAAATAATGTTCAAAATTAGTACTATCAGAATTAACATAATGCACATCGCGACCAATTTTAATTATTCCTAGAAAATATTAGTCTTACTTTGAGTTTCACTTAAAATAATATTATACCGATAAATTTTGTGTACCTAAACATTTTTTTTTTTCGAAAACACCGCAACACACGATTGTAAACAATGAACGAGCTGACAAAAAATTACCGAGACCAACGCACCTATTGATTATCTATTGATACTAAATCTCCCGTCTCTAAAAATTAAAAATTGCAATACAAAATTCGGTCGGGTAGGGATCCGCTGAAGATGCATTGTTGCCAGGTAACATTACAATTTCTTTCATATCGGTCAGTAAGTTTTTGTTTACAAAGCATATGTTTCGAAAAACATTTTTAGTCCAGAACATTTAGATCAAAATCGACCGGAATAGCGGAAATTTTTAGGGACAGCAGATAGCGAGATGCGGTTTTCTGTATTGTATTTAGGAAGGTCCCAGGAAAAAAGTCGATATCGTCTGGTTAAGCCATTTTTTGAAAAATGCCTTCTGGGCCGGAAAATGGATTTTACAATTGCATCATTACTTGCACCATTATAGGAACGACTGGAAACTCGAAAAAATCGCTCGAAAATCGTTAGTCGGGGGTTTTTGGGGCTGCCGAACTCGATTCTAGCATTAGAATTACCCGGGGTTTACGGGGGGTGAATTGGGGAGAAATAACAGCATATAAACTCGTTACTTGGTGGTTTTCGGAGATGCCGAATTTAATTCTGGCATTGGTATTTGAGGGTATTTGGGGTATTTGGGGGGAAAATTGCATAGTCCATGGGAAGCGCTTTAAACTCGTTACTCGGGGGTTTTTGGGAATGCCGAATTCAGTTCTAGTATTAGATTTCCCAGGGGGCGCTCGGGGATGGTCCTGTGGGGTTGCGATTAAGCTCGTCCAAAGCTATCGAGCAAAAATGTATGCTAAAGCCACCAATTCTAAAAAAAGTCGATCTTGCACGCATAATCCCGCCTGCCAATGAGTTATCCGAGCATGTCTATTTCCAAGTACAGGCTTGGTATGGTTCACAAGGTCAAGACGAGACCTTAGGTCCGTTGGAATGGGGGTGGGAATTGGTGTATGGAGAGCTCAGTCTTGTCACCATGACCCAGGAAGCTGGTCCCGAGGAAATTTTAAGCAAAATTTCTTGTTTTTGTGAAACCGACTGTGACACGAGATGCGGGTACCGCCGAATTGGGTTGGAGTGCTCACATGCATGCAAGCATTGTGATAACATTTGCTCAAACCAAAAAGGCACTTCCAACAGGGTCGAGAATAGTAACAAAGAAGAAGATGAAAAAGGGGAAGAAGATGAAGAAGGGGAAAAAGAAGAAGAGTTTGAACAAGATGTTAAATATTTAAGTTAAAAATTTAGGTTTATAATGAATAATTCAACATTAATAAAAACTCCCATTTGTTATTTGAATAAAGTATTATTTTCATAATTTGTGATATTTCACTTTCTCCTTTACTATTTCCCACAGAGTCACCCTCGAGCGCCCCCGGGGAAGTCTAATGCTAGAACTGAATTCGGATCCCCAAAAACCTCCCGAGTAACGAGTTTGGAGCATTTCTCATGGACTATACAATTTACCCCCCAGAATGACCGCCGGATACCCCTGCAGAGCCGCCACCGAGCGCCCCCGGGTAATTCCAATGCCAGAATTGAATTCGGCATAACTGAAAACCCCCCGAGTAACAATTTCTGAGCGATTTTTTTGAATTTCCAGTCGTTTCTATAATCGTGCAAGTAATGATATGCAATTGGAAAATGCATTTTCTGGCCTAGAAAACATTTTTCAGAAAATGGCTAAACCAGACGATATAGACTTTTTTCCTGGGGTCTTCCTGAACACAATGCAGAAAACCGCATCTCGATATCTGCTGTCCCTAAAATTTTCCGCTATTTTTCATAACTTCCCTGGACTATTTTTTTCTTATTCTCGTGCAATTTATAATTAAAAAAAAAACATTGAGTGACAATAACAATGTAAAATTTTATACAGGCGAAACCCCATATTTTCGTTTCACATCATGTGAAAGTATATATGGAATATTAATATTTGGTTCACCAAAATTATTGGAAAAAATCTTCAGTGGCTTTAAAAATGAAAAAGCTTACAGTTAGTTGATTAACCCATCTTTGACCGGTGATGCGTTTATGCAACACCTTACATTATATTTATCAGGGACCTGGACGCCCATATAAATGAAACGTTAATCCCTTACCTGGTTGAAAATAAAATGAAAATTAACCCTACGAAGACAGAATGTCTCCTTTTATCAAAACGTAGGACCCAGGGAATTATCACACCCCTAAGAGTCGGTGAAGACATAATAGAAACTAAAACTACCCTTAAATATCTGGGATTTCAACTAGATAAGGGATTAACGTTCAGAGCACACATACAGGATAGGGTAGGTAAGAGCATTGCAGCCACCCGCATGCTCTACCCCATTCTAAACCGTAGAAGCAGACTTTCACTGCAAAATAAACTTCTCCTTTTCAAAACCATCCACAGACCAATCCTCACATATGGGTGTCCAGTGTTCTGCTCGATGGCCAACGTTCATTACAATAAGTTACAGGTCGCTCAGAACAGGTGTATTAGGCTAGCCCTGGGCTATGATCGTTATGCACGAATTGCAGACATGCACACAGAGACAGACATACCGTACATAAAACAATTCATACTGACGACAGCAGACAGTTTCTACGCGCGATTCCTCCCTGATCCTGTAAAGGAGAGCATCACTAACATTTACAGAGGAGACAACGTGCGTAGAAAACACGGGTGCATCCACGCAAGACTAAACATTTTCAGACGAAGACAGTAACAGAACCCACCACAGCGACAAATAAACTAACAACAATTCACACCGATCAGATACTCAAATCTGGTCGAACGGCGGACTGCGCGGTGAATCGGCCGCTGAGACACAGACCGAAAGCCCTATACACTTTCGATCGGTGCCCGGGCGGAAGTTTCATCGCGCAACAAGCCAGTGGATTGTGACAACAACCAAAGACTACAAAAGACCAACGCACATACAAGGACAACCCTGTTTTTTACTAGCTTTTTCCAGGGGACAATAACCAAAACTAAGACAAGACACAACTAAAAATACTTCTCAATTGTCGATTTCAATTTCAATCAAAAATTTTCAATAATACCGAAACGGTAAGGAGTGAGAACCGCACAACATAATAGAAATCCCACTACGGTATTAACAGGCAGATATGTCTGCCATGGTCCTCGGGCCCGCACGAAGCTTAGGCCTAGTGTCGAATTGTTTTTATTGTGTGAGAATTGTAGATATTACTTAAGTTGTAAATAAAGAATTTTAAACCTAAACCTAACCTTACATTATATTTTTTTGGTGATCTATCACTTTAGTGTCACAAAATTATAGGTTTAATTTATGTTTTAAATAAAAGTACAAATAGATACTTATTAATTAAAAAATAATAATTACGGATTGTAGAAAAAAATTCAAAAATATGGCTTTTCCAAATTAAAACCATTTTTTATTGCGGATGTTAAAAATATAGTAAAACCAGAGATCTAGTGACTCTCATAAATCACATTAGCTGACGACCTTCATTATCACTATTGTTCGATTTGTAGATAAGCGATAAAATTGTTTGTTGGTTAAAAGATTTCCAGGTCCGGATTAAAATATATATTCTCATGAAATAATAAATAATATGTTTTTTTAATAATATTATAATTGAGGGCTTTCTATTTCAATTGTTAACAGTTTTGAATGTAAAACTCTTTTTATAGTAAAAAATTTCCTAAAACTAAACGTCTATTAAGGAGTAGGTAGAGCCGGGCCAAGATGAGTTTGGTACACAACATGGCGACGACAAAAGTTGCGCACTGGCTGTTGCCTAGCAACGACGCTCGGTGAAGCCAAACTTAGTCATTCAGTGGCGTAACTTGGGTCAAGTATATACAAAGTAAATAGAAGTGAATAGAGTGCGAAAAGTGACAATTTTATATAATTATAATGCCTTGTGATTTATATTTACATATAAGTATTGTGTTTTTGTTGTTGTAATGGCTCCAAGGAGAATCGGATTAAAAGGGAGGTCACTTAATAGTCAAACAAGAGAAATTATATATAATATTACTAAATTTGTGGAAAAAGAAGCAAATGAAGGATTTCAAATTCCTCAAAAAAATTATCGGTCAGTATGATAATATAGCATTTGTTTTATAACAGTCGTATACATAACAAGTAGTAAGAAACGTTAGAAGCGTTGGCGGCTAGTGCAATATAATTCCACGAGCATATAATTATCTACAATCAGAATTATACATTCATAATAACGAGAAGGTTTTCATAATTTATAACATTTAATAAAAAAATTGTAAATTGCAAATGCAAATACTGAATTAACTGAAGAACAATTGTTTTAGAAACAAACATTTGTTAATAGTATTGCGAATCAACAGTTTCTTTTAAAATTAATATTTAAAATATTTACCTATTTCATCAAAAAAAATGTTGCTTTTAAAACCATCTGATTACCGTTTAACATATAACAGATTGCCCATAATTATAAAGATTTGAATAATTGTTCCATAAGTTCCCCAAAATAAATATGCCGATTTTTCTATTTCTAAAACGTCGAAACTATCGTAACCATAGCGATCACCTAGATTGAAAAATAAGCTTTTACCAATGATACTAAAATTTCAAATATTCAAGTTGAATCCATTGCGTAGACAAGAGCTTGGCAATCAATGATTACATTAATAAATACTTATTATATCATAGATGATGTAGGTCCGAGTCACCCAATACAAGCCTTCGAGAGCCATCCCCTCCTAAACTCGATTTCACCCATCAGAGCCTACCTTTGGGACCATGGTACTCCTTTGTTTAAAACTTTTTTTGTTCTCTATTTTGTCTCTTTTAACCATGAGTACGCTTGTTGAGTGATTTAGTAATTTTTAGGACTAAACATCAGATTCACCTTTAGGGACCGCGGGTTCAGTTGTGCCATCTTGGGTTCTCTGAAAGAATGTTCTGCAGAGCCCGGGCTGGCACATCAGAATTACGCGAGTGACATTTTTGTTTTGTCTTGACATCAAAATAATAATATCATTTATATTAAACATTTATTTAAATTTAACTAACAATAAATTAAATCTTTAAATTCAATAACAAATTTTGATCTCCGTTAACCTCCAATCACTCGAATCACACTCGGAGAAACATGTTCCACACTGAGGTGAACGCACCTCCTTCTGTTGACATTTGACAAGTCAAAGTCTTCAAGTGTCGCTTGTCACCACTGTCATGTGGAAACGGTTAAACAACTTGAACCAAAATGAAGAGAGAAATTTAAATTTGAAAATATTAATATTAATAAAATTATGATTTAGCAAGTTGTAAATATCCCGAAATATATAATTTTGGGAGTGAGGATGACCAGGAACTTGTTGGATACGTTGTGGACAGTAGGTAGACTTTTTCATAATTATAATGTATATAAAAAATATAAAAAAAAAACCTTCAGTTTTTTTACTTTGGCCTTCTGCGTTTTACTTTCTTCATATCAAATATTGTATTCTAGATTCAAATTTCAATATATCTTTCACAGTCACCCTCTAATTGTAAATTTCTTTAAATTTTAACTAATTTGTTAACCTTTTTTCAATTTTGTGAATAGTGAGGGGGGCATGATTCCTTAATTCCACACAAGCTAACTTGCTTCTGGAGATCAGATTTGATTTGTAAGGGCTTATCCCACACTCACTATTCCCAATACCAGTTTTTTTTTTGTCACTTTGTTTGTACTTGTAATTTTTAATTTGTTCAAACAATTGTATATATACTATTTTAACTTTTGACTTAAAAGTCTAATTCAGATTTTATAATATATTTTTTAAAATCTTTTTAAATTGTAAGTTTACATCCACAATTTTTGTAGATGAGCACTGATGATGGCAAATAAGCCGAAAGCGCTTTGCATTGATTAATAAAAAAGTTTTGCACGAAATACAAGTTTTTCCTTTTGAATCTAAACTACGTGCACACAGCTGTTATTTTAATACATAATTAATATCAAATCAAGGGTAATCATGGCCAAAACGGGCGTACAAAATAGGGACTGACACAGGTAGCTCTATATATACAGGGTGTCCCGAAATTAGACGGTCATATTTTAACAGCGTAATCTACATTATAAAATAGGAATAAAAGTTTATACAAACATATGACCGAAAACGTTTCTTTTCCGAGATACAGGGTGTTCAAAGTGAAGTCTTGATGACACACTTTTGTAAAAATTTTCTAAACGTTTAAAGATAACTGAGTGAAATTTGATAAAAATGTTTAACTTTTTACGCTC